ATATGAGGTGCCAGCCATACATAGAAAAAGTGTTGATCAAGAAGCGAAAATACTTCGATCGAAGCTTTTGTTTTTTTTTTTTAATTTTATGTCATCAAAAGACTACAAAGATTTTATAAGTTGAAAAGAATCTGATAATTAAGAATTAATTTAACCACTGAGTCATCATTTGAGATAGTGACCCAGATATCTGACGGGTAAGACATGACCTTTAAACCTTTTAAGGATAGGCTTTTCCGATTAATAAGGAACGGCTGTTTTAGTCACGACAAGCGGGAACACAGGGCATATTTGGCCATACAAATAGGGACTTTCATAATATCAATTTGGTTTGAACGTTTTAAATTCCTTTCAGCATTTATCCCCAACTTGTATAGATTTTACAAGTTGACTTTAGTAACTTCACGCTCATATCTCCCACAATGCTCAATTGTTAAAGACTGTTTTTTTTTCGCCTTGAAAAAAACAAAAAAACAAAAATAAAAAAACATTTATTCTCGCGGTTCTTACCGAAGCAATAATCTGAAATGTCTAAATTTGAGAGACATAGATAGAATCCAAGTTGACTTATTTTTAAGTCATCTTAAAGTGTCAAGATGATTACTTGTTCACTGCTAGAGCCAGGAATAATGAACCGCAATTTTTTACATCAGCTTTTGTAAGAATCGCGTCTGATTTTAACTATACCTATAAAGGCACTTGGCCACCTCAAGGTGTTGTAATGGTTAACAAGCTTGTCTCGCTAGAACAATTACGACTGAGTAGTGAGTTCGATCCTCACTGGGTGCCCCATACGTTCAGCCTTGTGCCACACTTGAGCTACGCTTGCAAAATCACTACCTATAAAGGTACTATTTCGTCAGGCAATGGCAATGGTGAAATTAGCCGTTTCCTTATAAGGAAACATTTGATATTCATTGACTGAACAGTTAGTGTTATCGTTGGTTGAATTTTATGAAAAACTTTTTATTAATAGTCAATAACCTTTATTTCCGGTATCACAAGCATTTAGTTTATTATTGCAGAAAATTTACATGGTTTGGTTTGGTTTGGTTTACAGCATATCAATCGTAATGGGTTATTTAATGCCGACAAGATTTTTATTGCTGATAATATTTTTGTTTCAAAATGTATTGCTGCTAATATTTTTTTTCCAAAAATGTATTGCTGATAATAATTTTTTTATTTAAAAATTCATTGCTGGTAATAAAAACCTATTTTTACACGTTTTGTCCCAGTTTAGGGGGTTAACTATTTGCCCATAGCCGTGACCCTAACAGGTGCTACTACTCGGGGTCAGGGTGGACCTGGGAACACCAGTAATTAAGACGTGATTATACGCTCCTCAAAACCTTCTGATCAAAGACCTTGCTGCCGGATGTAGTTTATCGTCTTAACTAGGACGAAAATTTACCTGGTGAATAGCGGCAAAATTACCAGGATGACAAAACAAGTTGAAACCTTGCTTCTGTATATATTTTGAATGCAGTTATTGGTAAATATGTAACTGTGATTATTATCATTATTATTATAAATTATTATTATTATTATTATTATTATTATTATTATAAATTATTATTATACATTATTATTATTATAAATTATTATTATTATTTTAAATTATTATTCTTATAGATTATTATAATTATTTTTATAAATTATTATTATTGCAAATTATTATTATAAGTTACTATTATTATAAATTATTATTATTAATACAAATTATTATTATTATAAATTATTATTATTATTTAAAATTATTATTATTATTATAATTATAAATTATTATTATTATTATAAATTATTATTATTATAAATTATTATTATTATAAATTATTATTATAAATATTATTATAAATTATTATTATTATTATTATAAATTATCATTATTATAAATTATTATTATTATAAATTGTTATTATAAATTATTATTATAAATTATTATTATTATTATTATTATTATTATTATTATTATTATTAGCGGTGGTTATAGTGTCGTTGTTGTGATCATTATCTCCAGAACTTTCTGTCCCATTCTATATACAATTATTTATAGTGAATGAAGATTTTAGAATCATTGCTTAATAAATCCTCCCTGTGTGATCACATGCCGTGAAAATAACAAGTTGTACATATATTCTTGTCGGAATAAGGTAAGATGTGTATAAGGCATGTCTATGACTTATTTAAGGTACGCATCTTTTTCAGAGACATATCCATCACCTCAAGTGAGTCTATTCACATAATCTTTAATGTAATTATTTTCTTGAGCAAAATTGATGTTGTTTAGCAACTGATACTTTTTGTACCGTTATCACTCTTGGTTTTTTTTTTAGGGTTTGGTTTTGCAAAAGAAAGAAATTCTACCTTTCTTCCCAGATTTTTTAACGAGGCAACTGATACGAACGCATTTCGCAGTTCAAATATTTCGTCAACCGATATCAAAATCTGTTATTGATAAGTTTTTCACGGCAAAATCTATCATGGAACTCTAATTTCCTCGGGAAATTTATGACGATTGTCAGTTTGATATCAGAGATAGGATAGAATCTATGTGCACTTATTATTTGGAGGCAATGGTAAATAAAGGATCGTCGCTAAATTGATACAAGCCTAACCACATGCTACACATATATATATATGTGACCTGTCAGATTTCGCCAGGCGAGACTGAATTAACATTCGTTGGCAAATCTCGAGGAAACCACAATTTATATTTGTTTTATTAAAATGTCATAATAAATTTTAAAATAATTTACATGAACTGGTGTTTACGCTTTAGGTACGAAACTGAAGCTGATATATATAGTTTCCTAGGAGTCCCATCGAGAGATATGCTCTCTTTAAATAGCTTATTCAAACCTTACTCTCACGTGCCTGTCTCCGTAGCTAAACTGGTAGCGATACGTTTTGGTTAAAAAAAAAAAAAAATAAAAAAAAATATCGGTTTCCCTGACCTGATAAGAAAAAGGGATATAGAGGTTCGATTCCTGTCGGAGGTACAATTTTTATGCGTAAGATTTCTCAATCTTGGCCTATTGTTATTAGTTTCATTGTTCGAGAAAAAAAATAACCCAAAACCCCCAAAAAACAAACAAAATAATTCAGGAATAGCAACTAAAAACGTGTACCTACTAAAAATAAACGTTGATAGTAAAAAAAAAAAATAATGTCGGATAAAAAACCCAAAAAAACTTAAAAAATTACTTCCGTTTCCGTTTTGCGTATGAAAGTCTTAAAACCGTAATCTTGTCATATGGCATTGTGTGTAGGATGCGATGAACCACTTACAGTTGAACACAGACTGTAGAGGTATATTGATTTTTATGAAATTCGTTTCAAATATTACCAGCTCATCAACCACATGGTTGATATGCCGGAAAACCCATCAAATCAAATCTGTCATATATATTCTAACTTCATCGCCACAGGCTTTGTTGGGCAAGCCTTATCATTCGTCTTGGAGACAGAACAACACCCAAGCAAGGGTCTTACGGTGAGCAGCCCTATATTCGACCCCAGCATAAACCAAGCAAGTGTTTCAAGAAATGTTTAAAAGTGGCCCTTGCAGCCTGTCATATAGAAGATCCTGACTGGTAATAATAGTAATAGCTGGCCACTTGTATTAGTCTACTAGAGCGGTTAGTCGATCCCTATTGTAGACGCTTGCTCAGGAACATTTGTGTTTGTTCAACACCCACATAGCCCACCTGTGGTTTATACTGTAGCTATGCTCACCAGACCTTAGTTACAGTTTCTGGGAGATAATGTGTTATCTAGCGTGATCAACAATCTGAACAAGACCAGCACACTCAAACCCTCGGTCATGATGACTTGTGACTTCGTGCTAGCACAGCTATCGACGGCCTCCAAGTGTTCCGTCCACCCAATTTCACTCACAAGGCTTGAGTGCTATGGTTTTTCAGGCACTTTCCAAGCGTGTCGCACGCTGGGATCATCCCACTTCAGACCGATAACATCAGGAAGTTTTTTTTTCTGATAAATCATGGTGAGATTCTGATGGTTACGACGTTCTAACCACTCAGCCATGCACTCTGACTGGTAAGCTGCTGTTTGAGATCGAAATAAGTGGAGCCATGCAAGTTATGAAGACAACAACATGAAATGAGTTGGGTAAATATCAAGCGTGCAGATAGGAAAGGGGAAATCATGGCTCTCCACAACTTCCTATATTGTGTGGCTTTTAGCAGGTTTTCTCCGTTTGACAAGGCTCTCACCCCCGCTGTTTTGCTATCCATTTACACAAGCTCTCTGCCTTCCTCTATCTTTCTCGGTCTTTGTATGAGGTTTAATTTTTCCAAGCCTTTTTTTCCTCATTATGTGTCCAAGGGATTTCAGCCATCTTTTCCTGATTTTGGGTAGAAATGTTCTTTCTGTTGCCATTTTCTTTAAGACTTCCTTGTCACTCACTTCATCCATGAAATTCTCAATATCCTTCTGTAGGATAGCTTTTTGTTGTCTCCAGTTTTCTCCTCATCTATGGGGGAGATTGTTCAACATTCACTGTCATAGAATAGGATGGATATCAAATAGCAATCCAGCACCCTTTTCTTTGTTTCTAACGAAATCTTTTCCGATTTTCAGCACTTTGCTTAGCTTTTTGGGGTTCTTCTTTCACTCATTCAATGCGTACTTCGGATCTCGGCGCCGCGTTTTCCATCCTCCATTAAAACGCTCCCTAGATATTTAAACTTCTTCATCTGCACATCTCCATTTTTTATTCGTTTTTAGAGCTTATCAAGCCATTGCAGGTTAGTCAAAGCCAGAAAATATTTTAAATTGTAAGAGTTTTCTTTTTTTAGACAATAATAGGTTAGTGATACAAATTTCACTAATTAACCGATAGCTGGGGGAGAAGATGTGGATTCATGCCTTTCCCAAGGCTATTTGTGCATATGTGAATATAACGAATCCAACTTGAATTGGAACACGGCTCCCCAATTAACAATTCCGAGCCATTACACCACCCGCTCATCCAGGCTTACAGCACCTGATATTTCCAAGTAGACACCCACCTAGGTACTGACCAGGCTCGATGTTGTTTAAATTCGATAATCGTAGGGGAACCAGTGTTTCAACGTGATGTGGCCGTAAGACTCCAATTTGTAGCTCGCATCTTGTGTTGTATCGTTGCTTTTGCCTAGCGGCATATCAATACCTCTATGGGTTATTTAATGCCTAAAATTAAATATTTTAAACAATTTTATGGCTTCAACTACAGATAAAATGTTTTGGTTATTTTGTTATGAAATGTATTATTGATAATTATATTATAAATACATTCTATTATAAATACATTCTATTATAAATACATTCTATTATAAATAGGTATTGTTGGTAATTTTACTATACAGATGTATTTTTATACTTCCATAGTTTTGTCTTTGTTTGTGGGTGGGGGATTCACTATTTGCTGGGATATAGCTGGGGCCCTAACAGGTGCTACCGCCTAAAGGAAGGATAGACCTGGGGGCAACAGCAATTGAGGTGGTTTCATGATTATCAAAATCTCCAATCTCCCAATCAGAGGCCTCGCTACCGGATGTAGTTTATCGTCATACCAGGGAAAATCACATCTTGGGCTTTTTTTCTCTTGCTAATGACTATACTTTCTGTCTTCTTGCAGTTGGTAGTTAGTCCTTTTTTCTTGCTTTCTTCTATCGTTCTATCATGGAGATTCTGCAGTTGTCTTTACAAGGTGTACTCAAAAGGAGCGACCATATTATCGTTGAATTACAGTGAGTTACACAAAGGAATGGACACCCGGAATCAAATCTACAATCTCATATAAGTAATGACAGATTAATCGTTTCCGCATATACCTTTCTGCTAGGGTGGATAGTTAATCCCTGTTGCAGACGTCTGCTCAAGCACATTTGTATATTTTAATATCCGCAGAATTAACTTTTGGTTTATATTACAATTATACTGAATAAACTTTAGCTACAGTTTCTAAAAGAGAGTTCATAACTTGGCATGATCAGTAGTTAGACAAAAAAAGTACGTTCAAACTCTCGGTCACGCAGACTTGCGACTTGGTGCCAGCGACGGCTTTCTGTCGGTTTCATTCACAAGGTTTGAATCAAGTTGCTGTATGGCTTTTAGACATTTCCCAACAGTACCCTACGCTGTAATCACAGGCTGATATTATCAACAAGTCACCTTGATAAGATTCGAAACCGGGTCCTATAGGCAGAAAGACTAATCTTCTAACCATGCTTCCATAAATCCCATGCGCCAAAAAGCGAAATCTAAATAGCTTGCTCCTCATTTACCCCCCACCGCCAGTATAACGTTATTAAGTTTGTTACACTTGAAATGCAGGTATTTTCTGGACCCATTATTTTATAAGTGGTTCTTAATCTATACCAGTTGTGAAAGTAGTTTTAAGTAGGTTAAAAAGGGAGGAGAGTGTCGCTTTAATTCGATCGAAAAAAAATTGAAATTCTTATTCGAAGATTTAAGTAGATTATATTTTTTCCAGCTACACTGAGTCAATTTCGCAGCAAGCAATCTATACGTAAGAAATATGACCTTACTGCGACAATTTGTTCTTAGGGGATCTCGAATATTTAGACGGACTCAAGTTGCCTGATGATGTATTCGAAGTCAAGAACACCTGAACACTTAACCGAAGTTAAAAAGCTAGAACACTTAATTGAAATAAAAAATAAAAAATAAAAAATATTTGAAACCAAATAAACGAAACTGATCTGAAAAATGAGCCGTGAGATTTTCAAATTTCAACTTTATATTTTCTGTTTGCCTTTTGTAAAAAGTCTAATAGAAAGGGGAGTCTTAATAGTCGGGGGTCGTAGAATTTTTCTCAGTAGGGAATAAACGGGGTGGCTAAAAAGGGGTGTCAGAAAAACATTTAAAGAGTTAAAAAGTGCGAAATTATTAAACGGTGTGTTTTTAATAAACATAGAAGACTAGTAAAGTTTCTCAAAAATTAATAAAATAAACTTACCCCGTCTATTAAGCACTTATTGTGTCTAATATTATGTTGGAATAGAGAATTTGCAGCTGCTGTCAATACATTGGACTTAATGATCTACGGACATATTATCCGTTCTTTGCGTGTGAAACATGCATCGTTAAAGTTGTCTGAGCGATTCACTGTTGATATTTGCCTGAATGACCTTCCATACCGCACAAAATGTAAACATTGGTTGCGTGTAGGAATTTTGAATGGAGTTCTTTTCGCTAGGGTCCACGAAAAGATAACATCAATAATTTTAAATGAAAGCCTAAAAAGAAATAAAAAGGATTAAATTCAATTTATTTTATCTTATCAAAAAAGCAGGGCAAGTTTTTGTTTGTTCCTATTACGAAAATATAAACTTTAACCTTTAGTTCTATTGCAGAGACCAATGAAATAAATTTAAAATATCACTTACAAGATTTTTGGTTTAGTGCGCACTAATTAAATCACCAAAATTCTGTAATTTATATTGCTCTTTTTTTTTCTTATTCTATACATTTGACAGTATTAGCTTCTTAGGAAAGCTGAAAAAATATAACAACTCAGCGAAAAATATATACTTTCTTTCCTTTTTATAATCACTCTCCCACCGCCGTAATATAAGTCCCCCTGTGTTTTTTTTTCTATAAATATTTTCATGGTAATTGTTGTGATGAATTTTCCTCTGTCGTACTTAAACTTTATGAATTTAAGCGTAGTACTAGATTGGCAGTTAGGTCTCTTCATATTAATGTTGAAATGGTTAGATGTACCTGTAAGTGCTTTGCTAACAGTTTCTTCAATCGTACTTCTCGCTTGTAAAACTCTTGATAAAATCCAAAGAAGAATCTGCAATTTTATTGGCCCTGACCTGACATCTTGGCGTTAGTCGCTTTCCCACCGCCGTAATTTAAGTGCAGTATTAGACTGGCGACAAGGTCTCATCATTTACAATTGAAATGGCTTTGATTTAAGCTAACAATTTCTTCACTCGCACTTCCCGCCTTTGGAACTCTCTTCCAGCTTCTTGCTTTCCTGTCAACTTTGATCTTCAAAAATGTATATGCAATGTCAATCGTTATCTTCTGTCTTCTTAGTTTCTGTTCCTTTATTGTTCTCTTTCCTCTTATATATAAAGTACAGTGTATGTGTGTCTGTTTGTGCGTGTGTGTGTCCAAGCTACTCCTCCGTTCCAACTATTTCGATTTCAATGATTCATAGCTCATTCAAAAACCCTAGAAAAGTTAGGTACAGGGGACGATTTTCGTTGAGCTCAGATTCAGGGTTGCCAGATTATGCGAGGTTAAAAATATATATTAATATATTGTACTAGCCATGATCGTTGCTTTCATGGTTCAAGAAGAGTAACTTTTATTTTCCTTCTGTATCCAAAATTGCAGTGCACGTTTTATTATAAACTATCTTAAAAGCCGCACTATCGGGTGGCATTAAGCTAGTTCAAGTGGAGGAATCTTGGTTTGGACATCATAACAATAGCTAGAGAGGAATAGATGCGATAAGCATCAATAAACTACAGAAGAACTCAAAATTGATCACTGCATTTAAGTATCGAATTAATGTTTAAGCTTACCTTTTAAAAGTTCAATGATAATTCTTCTGTTGTCACTTAATTTAAAGATAATTTGATGTACATAGATCCTTATTTTCCATATAAACAATTGTTTTTATTTCATGGGGACAGAACAGGGGACAATTTATAAGATAAAATATAGTGTAAAGATGGGAAAATAGAAATTAGAATTAGTTATACATTCAACATTTGAAGTGTTAGAAAAACATAAAAGCTAATTAAGTAAAAACCTATGTTTTGGAATCTAAAAGAAAAAAAAAAAAAGAAATTGGAGCTCAATTCTCACATGAATTCTGAGCTCTACTTTATAGCAATTTACTCTCCGGAGGCTAAATATCTGTATTATATATTAAGTACTTCTAGTAGTTAATATAATATTATGTTATATAATATTATATAATATTATATATTAACTACTTCTAGTAGTTAATATATAAAACAGATAATAATTGTTTTATTTATTTCATTACGAATTTAAAAAGTGGAACGATCAGTTAGTTTTTTTTTCTTTCATACCCTGCCTGGTGGCAAACGCTGCTGGTGGCGCCTGGGGTGGCGGTCCCGCCATAGCCACCGAAACCGTGAGATCATCCCTGGTCGGCGGCTGATGAAGACCGGTTATTTAAAAAAAAAAAAAAAAAACTACTTCTAGGCAATATCACTCTTCAGGTTTAACTAATTTGCATATTGATCTTAAAAAAGTTTATCTCATTAATTAAGTGTCCTTGTTTACTGTTCTTTTATTCGATGATTGGTTTGATTTTCATATCAAAAATAGTTCTGTTTAGGAATATTGTCTTATATAGTGCAGAAAAGTGTTTGAAATTTGCATTTTATTTGGGCCTCGACAAGTTGGCATCTATTTGTAAAACTTTCCTTAACTATAACAAGCCAAATTATGAATGTTCATTTAAAATTTTTGTTTCAAATATTTCAAGCAGTGAATATATCTTTGCAAAGCGATAGCGAGCGGGCGAAGCCTGCTTGTTAGTAATATTTTTTTTCTTATATTCTCCCACACTCAGTAACCTCTCGCATCTTAGTGGCTTTATTGCCTTACCTGGAATGAAATGATTAAAAAAATACATACAAGATTGATCACTTTGAAGAATGGCTGAAATGGTTAGAGTGTCCAAAATGAAATTTAGAAAACCCTGAATAAATTCTTCGAGGCGCGAAATCAGGTGGACGTTATTAGCTAATGAGCCAATGTGTTTGTCTCTATATCCGTACATACGTTATTTATCTTTTACTTACATCCCGCTTTTCTGTTCGTACCCCATTTAACTTGTTTTGCCGTAACAACAGGGTATGCGTCAGTAGGATGCCTAGCCGACTGTTTATTTATCCGTTATTTCCATTCGTCTTAGGCGTTCCCCGCAAATTCGTACGACGAATAAGGCTGCTGATAAAAATCTCCACCGAACGTCAAACCGAAAGATCTCCACACATTGCTCAGGGCCAGAAAGGATCAAGACAAAAACAAGGCTTGTGATGAGCTAATCACCGACATATTTTCAACGCTGGGGAGTATTTACG